TTCTCTTGCTTTATATGACACCTTTGTAGCAGCTAATTGTAGGGACAGGTGAATGAACTTAATTTTTAATGCTTATTCCCTGGAAGCTAAAGAGTTTTAATATAGTTTGCTAATTATAGGAAAACTGAATTTTAACTATTAGTGTCTCGTTCACTTTCTGGACTAGAAGCCTCCTAAAGTTGCTAATAAGAAAATAGAATGCCATCCATAAATGCTAGCCTGTATAACATAGGAAGTAACTGGAGATTGGCAGAGTATAGAATTCATATTTCAAAAAAATCAACTGGAGCACAGAACACATAGAAATCCATAGATAAAATTGACATAGCTTATCTTTAATATTGCAAGCAACTAGCATTAAAGAGATGATTAATCTGAGCATATACAAACATGCATACCCCTGAAACATCCTGCTCATAGTTGCCTTTAAAATTATCCTACAACATTAACACATTCCTCTTTATTACATATTGGTCATCGGAAAGGTCTGATCTTATAATATCCAGATTTTAGTTGGCATTTGTGTAAAACAGTGCCATGCTGGAATCCTACCATAATATTAGTAATGCTGTACAATAACATTCTTATCTAAATGGCAACAGAAAAATATAGACAGTATGGGATTTTGTGTATTTTTGTTTTCTATTTTAGAGACAGCTGGCAATTACCCCCATGTTCAGGCTGTTACCTCTTTCCATTATGTGTCCTGGGCCTTTTCTTTAAGACATTCTCAGAATTCCCTTTTTGCTTTTTCTGTTCCCTCAAACTGTTTTTTTGCCTCTACTCCACACAGCAGTTAAACTCTCAGTCACTTTTTCACTTCACAAAATAAAATGAAATTGATTGCAATGATTTAGGATCAGTTCTATAGGGAAAATTCTTACCATTAAACTTGCTTGCTAAAATACCCCTACTATACAAACAGAAGGGGCACAGACACAGCAGAGTGAAATTAATTTGAAAAGTCTAATAACGTTTTCTGAAAATATTTTGCAACATTCATTCAGCTCTACTAGTGACACAGTAATTATAATTAATTATATTTTCATCTGACTATTGAAACAAGTGACAATTAGTCACCAGTTAATGTCTTTTGTCTAATAGGAAGCCTTAGAATGAACTATGGCAAGCCACACACGAAGAAAGATGATGCCCTGGTTAGCTTTTCATGGGTTTCAGTCACTTTTGGAAGCAGGTTGGCAAGAACAACTGTTAAATTAGAGAACAATATCTACAAATGAAACTAGCAATAAATGTCAAGCAGTATCCGGTTCTATCTACCAAGTTACCCTGCACAGTAAATCAAAGAAGATGAGTTGGTTTTACTGAAGGACCTCTCAGGAATACCACCCACAGAGCACTAGATTTGTTATAGTAGATGGTAAGCTATCCGACTTGCCCTCTGAAGGTACAGTAAATGAGAGTGGTTGACAAGAAAACCTAGAAGAATCCAATGCATTGAACTCAATTTCCCCTGCCCCTGTGATGGGGGAACACAGAGGTTACTGGTACCAATCTCATGATTTAAAGATGGGGGGCCTCATCTTCAGTGCCAGTGCTATATCCTCAAGGAAAAGCAGCCAAGTGACCTTTAAGATCTGTCTGACAACACGATGCAAAATGATTACTTTCAGTTTTACAGTTGATGGTGATTAGACTGAAGGCATTTTTACCTAGTTGTAAGAGGCAGAAAAGAATGAAGACTGGAACAATCTGTAGTATATATCTAAATAGATCAATAATAAATGCACATGGTAAGTGATCTACTTTCCAAGAGAAAGTTAGGAAAATCTGACTACCAATAAATGTGGTTGGCAGTATATTTATACTTCAGGTAGACTCAGAACCTTTCCATAAGTAACTGTTTACTGCTTTACACATATTACCTAAGCCTCAAAACAGCTCCCTGGTGTAGGAAAATGTGACCAGAGTAAACAAACACAAGGAGGTTAAGGGCTTAATAATTAGGGCTGTGTGAAGCTTCAGTAGCTGATTCAATTCAGAGGAGATTTAGTCCTATTCAACAGCCAAATCTCCGAATCTGAATCAGAACAGGAGACCAATTAAAAGCTCCGAATCAAATTGGAAGCCTCTGAATCGATTTGGAGACAAGTGGTGGCAGGACAGAGCCCTCACTCCCAGAGCCTTCCATCAACATCTGGAGTACAGCCCAGCCCAGCCCACCCCACATAGATCCAGGGGCACATGCCCACTCCCATGCCCTCCCAGACCAGTGGTGCACAGCACCGGTCAGTGGCAGGAGCCCCTCTCCGAGTTGCATGTTCCCCTGGCCTGGCTGGGAAGTTTGTTCCAGTCCCAATCCCTCCCTCACTGTGAGGGTATTGATCTGCTCCCTCATGCCCCTTCCCTCCCCGCTCTGCCTACCACAACAGACTTAGCAGCGGGAGGCAGCTGTGTCCAGCTTGGTCGAGGACTGCTGCCTATTTAGTCTATAGCCAAATCTCTGAACTGGTGCTGAATCTTCAGATCCAAATCAGTTGAATTGAATTGGTACAATGATTCAAATCACTGAATCGAATTGCTGTCCCTCCAAATCAGCTGAATCTGAATCGAATATTTGCTGCTTCACACAGGCCTATTTATAATGGCTTGCTATAGGACACCTAGTGAATCAGTGGCAGAGACAGAACTCAGGAGTCCCAAGCCCTAGCTGGAAAATATAATCACTGGACAACACTCTCTCTTGATGAAGTGTAAATGTTTTCATACTTATTAAAAGAGAAAGCATTTTGTGAAGAAGGTTAATTAAAACTGACCTACAGGCCATGATTAGAAGGTAAGCTTCCTATTGTATGACTGGACAAAATTCTGTCTTCCAGAGGAAAATAGATGGATAGGAAGTCAAACCATCTGTGGTCTCTTTGTTCCTACTGAATGGCAGTGTTGCAAAATATTTTCAGAAGGGATTATATTTAATAAAAATAAAGGAAATAGCTACAGAGGGACATATTCCAAAGAATTCAGAGATTCAATTTTAGTAAGAACCCAGAAGTTTGATGCTTATCAAAAATTAACTGATGAACCTTTGGAGTAAACTTTGCTGGAAGTATGACCAGAATGATCATTTTGCAAGGTTTTCAAATCTTTCTGCTTTCTGTTTAAAATTGAAAATACTGTGATAAGTCACTTTGTAGGGAA